AAAGTTGCAATATGAGAGCGTGAAAATTGATATGATTACAGTATAAATATACAAATTACCAAATATAATTAAAAAATATTAAGGTATTTAGGTACTAACAATTATCATCTAAACACAAAGAAGTGAAATTCCTTTGAAGTGATCTTAGGAAAAAAGCATAGTTATCAGGAAAGCCGCTACTTTTATGTTCAAAATCAATGTAGAAATACTTGGATTATAATACCCAAAAATCACATCGGCTGTTGCAGCTCCACCAGCTTCGCCAGGGTAACCAACCCAAAGAATACTTGTAATTTTGTCAACGTTTTTTGCAAATGTTATGTCAAAGCCTCCTCCAGACATTATGACAAGAATCACAGGCCCTTTGGCAGCCTATGCAATTTCTGTTATTAGAAGTGGTTGCTGTCCTGGCAAAAGAAGGTCAACTCTGTCAAAGCTCTCTCTTTCAAGATATTGATCTATGCCCATCACAAGGACAGTGGCATATGCTGAGGCAGCCATTTTCTTAGCATCGTCTACTTGGGCAGTGCCACAAGCCATATTGGAGCAGCCAGGCAGATAGGTTGTTGCTACTGAAGCGGTTAGGCCCTGCAAAGGTGTCGTATATTTGCATGGAATGCCCGCAAACGTTTCCAATGGTGAAAGTTAATCATGTTATTTTAGACTTGCATGAATTACTAACAAACTTGTCAAGTTCGTAATTGAGAGTAATGTGTTCGATTACCTTCATAGTTTCCAATCATGGTTTTTGTGACATTGGCATTGGGTCCAATTACTGCTAAGGTTTTGGTAGCAGTCGGAGATAGAGGCAACGATCCTGCACTGTTCTTGAGCAACACAATCCCTTGTCTTGCAGCTTCACGGGCCAACTCTTGATGCTCTGGAGTGCACACGTCTTTTGGGCCAAGCTTGCCATAAAGTTGCTTGCCGGGATCACCATCGAAGAAGCCGAGTCACATTAAGTAAAGAAATTGTTAGTGACGGCCTTATCAATGGCCTGCTCATTCAAAAGTCCTGCTTTCACCAAAACTTCAGTGTGTTGGCCAAGGAATGATCCACAGTTGAGATCCAACCCTAGAACATGGAAACATTTGCAAACATATTATTCGACTCAATCAAGTGGGCAATTAAACCTAATACTTTCAGCATGTAAAAGTCTATTTAGGTTAATTAATTAGTATTCAATCTGTATTATATTGTAGAATGACGGTATATTCCATATTGATAGTGGATCTTAATCAAATGTATTATTAAAAATCTGTAAGGTATTATGATCTTATCTTTGCTAGAAGACTAGCTATTTATAAAAATCATCAATCATACAGTAAAGTGATCATATCCTGTTTGATAAGATCAAACTTGGTTGTTTTTAAAGAAAAACAGTTTTTGCCATATGCTATGGTTTATTTGGATGGAGGATGTAAAATTCAATTCCTATAATTAATTAATTGAGGTTGGATTAGACGGCTACGTTGTTACTTAGTTTGAGCCATGGAGGTCGGATTAGACGGCAAGCTCGGATTAGGAGGAGTGGTGGGATCAATTTAGATTTAACCTCCTTTCATTGAGTCCTTGCACTATTTCTATGATTAGAAGGAGTGGTTAGTTCAATTATCACATGATTTTGGGTCGAAATTCCATCCATGTAGGACTTGAGAGGACATGAAGAATGATTTTGGGTCAACACAAAACATATTCTTTAAATTATGGAAGAAGAAAAAGTTTGGAACGGAAGTTAAGCTAAAAAGAATTAATCAGCAGTTCCAAAAGTGCTGCACTTTAAAATATGAAAAGCAAGTGAAATAACCTGTAGGTGAATGAGCAATTGAAAATGAAAAAATTTTTTCATTAATTAACCAGTTGGATGGCTTTACCTAATTAGTTAATTGAAATCATTAAGAGTCATTTTTTGCTGGCTCTGAAAGTCTAGTGGTTTATGGAAATTTTGTAAGAAATTATAACATGGGGAAAGATAAATGAAGTAGTACAAACATGTAAAATTGAGTTTCCATTTTGTTTTGTTTCAAATAAAGGCCTTAGAAAAGAAGAGTACTATGGTTTACCATTACTAATCCATTTGAAGTATTTATAATAGAGGTAAGCAATAACTATACTTTTAACCAGAAATTCAATGGATGTGTGAATCTCTTTCCTTTCCACCTAGAAAAGCACTGAAATGAAGAAGGGGACAACTAAATATCTAGATGTGCCGCAAGAATAAGTAAATGTCAGGCATTTCATGATTTTCCCTTACAATTCGATAGCAAAGATAATATTCCACTAGTACTATAGAAGAACTGCCTTTTTCTTTTTATGTTTTTTTGTTTGAACTCAAGAAATTCAATTTTGGAGCTGATTCTAATGCCATCGAACTAACAAGCTCCCCCACTCCACCATTCAGCCTCAGCTCATAATCAGCAGGTAAGGTGTTATGTACATATCACCAAACATCAAAAGCCATTTTCTAAAAGGAAACTTGGACAAGTAGCGACGTGCTTCAGCCTCGCAATATTTACCCAACCTGCATTTCTCACAATTTGAAAGTTGAAACGCATACCAAGTTTTTCCATGTTGTCATGTATTACCACTACTAACTATAACGCAGATACTGATCATGCAATTTGCCTGCAAAACAATTTGCTGAAACTAAACAAGGGAGAAAAAAAAAAGAAAACCGACTGTCATGTTTATGTTTGAAAAAACTAGTGATTAATAACAAAAGATCAGAAATTGAAAGTGGAATAAATTTGTTGAATGGACAAAATTTTGGGCGTTTATAAAGCCAAGATTTTTAGTTTCCAGCCCATAATCATGAAGCTGATATTTGGAAGCTTGTTAAGAATGCAACGGCAATTAGGAAGTTCCATTAATTGTTCTTGGCCCTTCCCATTCACAAAGTAATCATCTAACAAACAGCAAAATCATTGCACATTGGGCATTTTTTGGTGGTGGTTGGTCTGTCAACCTCTATTTTGATTGTCTTTTCTCTACTTAGATGCTCTATCCTAAGCTTTATGTGGATTGATTGAAGAATAATTACAAGAAAGTACTTGAAAAATATGTACAAAATAAAAACAGAGATCGCGGGTGCCTGAATTCATGACTCAGATTGTCAGAATAATTCACAAGGAAAGGCTCTTGGCCCATTTTGTCAGTCTCCCCGCAAGTTTCCATGCAGCCTCAGAGCTGGCAATGGATGGTTTTGACATGGAATTAAGTGTGTCCTGGCCACCTGTTTTTCATGTGGCCTTCTGATCACCAATAAATATGCGGCTCCCACTTTTGATATTATGGGACTTATCCCATCATTCCTTGTTGCCGCTACTGCGTCTATGACGGATGCAGCATGGGAGTTTATCTGCTATGTTTGATGTGAACATCATGACCAAACCCGGATGAAATATACTCTGCTACTGATAAAATCCCGTGGTGGTAGATAGGCAAAATCAAGCGCCATTCAAGGACCTTTTTTTTTTTTTTTTGAAGCGATTCATAATGGGAAAAAGGTTACGATTGTGGAACTGAAATGGTACACCGTAACCCCCATCCCCAAAAGTTTTTTTTATCTTTATCTTTTTTTTTTTATTATTATTGGAAGATTCATAAGGCCACAATGAATGCTAATGCTTTGTTTTCATTCTATATATATATATATATATATATATATAGACACACAGAAGCATTAACTTATATCATTATAATATTTTTTAATTATATATTTTTTTAATCATTAATTTTAATAAATTTAAGAGAGGTGATTAATTATTTTTTCTTTTTAAACTTATCTCTTTCATTTTTTAGATTTATTAATATCAATTATTAAAAAAATATAAAATTAAAAATTTTATATTGACGTAAGTTATATATATATATATATTCATCGTGTATAACTAGTAATTTGATTGTTTTTATAAAATAAATTATAATTTGAGAATAAGGAAAAAAGTTGTATACACTAAAATTTAAATTATAAATTTGTTAAATATTACTTCTTAAAAATAAATACATAAATTATTTAAGCATTTTATATGTATAAGAATTCTAAGTCAAATTGAGTTCATCCTACTTAAGGATGACCAAACAACTATTACCCAATGAGTTTTGATGTGTTCTAATTTGATAGGATCGTAATTTTTTTTAAAAATTGAAAGTCAAGTTAAAGATGAATACAATTTTTTTCTAAAATTAAAATTAAATTAGATTTTGATTTTAAGTAATATCATCTCGATTTAATTCGAATATATAAAATATATTTTTTATTATTTTTTTAATTTTATATTTATATATATAATAAAATTATTATTTAATATTTTAATTTAAAATATTCACTTAATAAAAATATTATATTTATGAATAATTAAGGTATAATTTATATTAAAAAATAATATTTAATGAATAATATATTAAATTAATTCCATATCAAATCAATTTTAATTTATTAATATATAAATTAAATATAAAATATAATATTTTAACATCAAATTAAATTAAAATCAAAATTGAAATAAGAAAAACCTGATCTCTAACTCATTGTCATTCCTGCCATTCCAAGACTTTCCCATAGTTGGGAGAAGTTCTAAGTGACCCAAGGCTTACCACGGCTGAATAGGCTTCTGGTCACAAGTACTGGGCCTTAAGTTCTTTCTTTTCCAGGCTCCAGTTAATTTTTCTTTTTATGGACTCATTAATTAGGTTTCCAAAGGATTGCGGGTTGGAGCTGTGACAGTGACTCAAATGGGCTAGTCTGAATTTCTCTTAGCGAATGTCGAAAGCCTAATTTCTGTTATAGATCAAACCATCTTACCTATAAAGCTCTTTTAGGGAAATGCGTTATAGAGCCTTTTCATAAAGAAAGGCCCTTTTACCTTTAAACGTTGAATTTGTAGGTCAAATAATCACATGGCAGTTGCTTGGGAGGCCAAAATTGTTTCTAAAACGTCAACGCGTAATTTTATTTCATGAAAACAACTAAACAAGCAATGAATACTTTCTTTCTTTTGTTGATCTGTTGCCCTCAACAGGTTGGCAAATCATGAGGAGGTGGGACTATTTGACTTCCAGTAGTATTTCCATTTTTTACAATGAACACCATGCTCATTCCCCAAGTGTGATGACGTTCTTTGTGGCAATGTAGCAACCAAACTCCTGAAATCATCAAAGTCATAGTAATAAGAGAGAAATTTTATAATTGACATAGTTCAGGAACAGGAATAGGTAAAAAATGAACTCACCTGGATTGTCTGCCCTAAATCTGATGGCAACCCAGCCATTCTTCGGAACTCCAACAGTGGTCTCCTCTGGTGGGTTAACAAGATTATACTTTAAGGGGTCCTTCTTGGGGTTGAAATTCCCAAAACCCCAACCAACGACATAAAAGCTATAGCCATGGAGGTGAACCGGATGGTTATCACTTGACAAAACATTTGTTCCCTGAAAAATCAGTTCAACACTGCAATTGTATTCCAAAACCAATACCTTGGTGCCAAAGCTAGGTGTCAGCAGGTTTTCTGGTAGGTTATCACTAGTGTAATTGAATTTATTGGGTGGTTTTCTTGGAAAATTTTCTTCAAAAACGCCCTCGATTCCATAATAGTAAGCCTGAAGGATATCAATTTTGGGGGTTATAAAGCTTATATTGTTAACACTAGAAGCAAATCTTTTACCAAAGGGACCCTTGCATGGTTTCTCAGTGCTGCAATTAAGTAGGTTGACAGATATGGTATATAGCAAATGAGTGTCTACGACTAGCGGCACTTTGGCTGGATGGTTTTCGTTAGCCAGGCTTCTGAATTGCTTACTGAAGTGAGTTGCTGCTTGTGTCCTATTATATGGGGGAAGGTTTGGCAATGGAGACCGTGGGCTATGGTATGACCCCTGATATTGTAGAAAAGCTGTTACTATCGTTTTGTCAAAGCCAGCTCCTACAGCATCAGCATATGCTCTAGCTGCAATAAAATAGTTTCCAGGGGATTGGTTTGCTTCCAATAGAACATCCATGGATTGACCTGGGGTGATCATCAAGTAATCTGTTGTAAATCGCTTCATGTAGAATCCATCCTTTCCTACTAACGTTAACTTGTGTTTTGCAATGGCAAAGAACATATTTTCATCCATGATTGCATTAATTATCCGAAGAAGATATTGTTTGCCCTGCTCCACCATCATCTTATAAGTTCCTATATTTTTAGATACAATACATTAATTAGGCATCATTTTCTGAAAAAACAATATCATAGGTCATCCTTACCAGAATAGAATAAAAAATGTAGTAACCATTTTATTTGTCCTGATAATTTACCTTTCTTGGAGCATGGATAGAAATAGCCTGGTTGCCCGTTTATGGTATATGCATCTGAAGTTAGGGGTTCCTCTCCAGTTAGATTTGCTTTTCCCGAGATTTCCATCACATTTTTCTTCCACCACTCTCCTGCATCGGGAACATTGGCATCAGAGCCATGCTTATTTAGGTGGCATAAAAAATTTATTCTTTTTTTTTTTCTTTTTTCAAGTTGCACATTGAAGAACGCATAGTCGAAGGCTCATTTTTCTTTCTTTTTTCTCGTGAGCATCTCTATTTAGTTAGAAACTAACGTGGTCCATTGTATAGAGATGATGAGTTTTTTATATTTTAATGTCTAAAGCAATGAAAACATCAAGAAAATTTTACCTATATAAATAAAAAAGTAATGTCACTTTAACAAGAAAAATTGGGTTATCTATATAAACATAAAAGTAATATCGCTTTAACAAGAAAAATTGAGGTTTCTTTGTAAATGTTTGTGAATAAGATAAGTACATTATCATAATAGTGCTAAAGCGATTATAAACTTTTAACAAAAAATAAATAAGTATTATATGTGTTATACTTTTAATTCTAATACTAAAAATTGAAGTTTGATCTGTGAACACCATCAATTTTATTAGAATTTTAAGATATATATATTAATTAAAAGTTTAAATCAAGAGATAACTTCTTATATTCAAAACATTTATTTGTGTGAAAAACTAAAGATTAAGTACCAACATTCTAAACTAATGATAGATCAATGGTAATTTAAAATGTGATGCATCTTATATTAGATAAAAAGACTTAATTATTGGTAAATAGACTTAGTTTTTGTATTAATTTTATTCTTATTCTGAATAATTATTTTAAATAAAAATAATTATTATAAATAGTCATAACTATTTGAATATAAATAAATTATTGTTCATATAAGTCATGATTATATAAATAGTCATAAGTATTTAAATAAAAATTTATATATATTTATCCATTATAAATAGATCTTTTAGTATAAACAATTTTATCACTTTTAATTAGAAAGTTTGAAACTTTCTTATATTTTAGAGGCATAATTATTTTTTAAAAAAATATTCTTCACATATCAAAGTTTAAATTTTTTTCTATTCTCTTATTTATTTTTTTCTAATATACATACTAATTAACATACCAAGTATGATTGGAAACTCTGCATGAGGCTTTGGAAAGGGATACTCAGATCCAAGCATTGGATAAACTATGATTGCTCCATGGACTGTTGCCCTAGCCCATCCATTATGTCCATGCCACCACACTGTTCCTTCCACGGAAATCTCTACTCTGTACGTAAATTTCTTACCTGGTTGAATAGGGCACTGAGTAATGTATTCAGGTCCATCCGACCATGGATTCCTCTGTTGTTTCAATCCATGCCTGCAAAACTTCGCATTGCCGTTAAAAGAAAACTCTCCACAGTTGATGTTTTAGCAAATAATTCCATGTACTATGCAGACATTTTAGTCTTAGAAGCCACATACCAGTGAATGGTTATATTGTATGTTGCTTTGTTGTAGACCTCTATAATCATTTTATCCCCTCTACGAGCTTTCAAAGTTGGCCCTGGGAACTCACCATTCACTGTCAAGATTTCCTTGGTGCTACATAGTCGACTGTAGGGAGATGATTCCACCTGCAGTTATCACAAATGTCAGAACATGTGGTGGAATGTAGGCTTGCCTACGGAGATCAGAAAGCTGCACATACCACAAACTTATGGTGATGGATCACCTTCCCAAATGCACTGCAAATTATAGAAACACAAAAACCAAGAATTGCAAGACTCTTTACTAATGGCATCGGATAACCTGCAGAGCCCATTGGTGGTTTCAATTTGGGAATTAGGCACCCAAAGGCAAAGCAATAGGAGGTCTTAAATATGGAGCTTTCTTGTTTTTATTCCATTTCGTTGCTTATTTTGCTTTTTCCTTCTATATCTTACAGCTTTTATTGCAGTCTCCAAGTATTATATGTAGAAATATGAAGAAAATCTACTTTTATAGTCAGGTGGCCTGGCCAGGAAATGACTTATTTCAAAGTAATATATGTAAGGCAAGATGTCAGCTTAAATTCTTTATATTTTTCATATTTAACATTAAATATGCAAATTCGAATTAAAAGTTAAATTTATTTGATTAAAACAATCAAATATGGCCAAGCAAAATTAGACAAAAAAAGTATTATATATCATATCAAACTTGTTTTTTTTTATTTTATTGAATGTATGTATCTTAAAATCTTCTTTGGACTTAAAAGTCTTCAATGTTTATACTACTTTCGTCTCAAATTATTTGGTTGTTATTAATTTTTGTAAATTTAAAAAAAAAGTTTTGATTTTAATTTATTTAATATTAAATTTTAAAATTTTTTATAAAATTAAAAATTTATAATATTTAGTGTCAAAAAGTAAAAAAATTATTAAATATAATTTAAAAATATAAACACCTAAGATTTGTAGATGTTCATATATATATATATATATATAATTGTAAGATATTCCAAACAAATATAAACAAAAAAAAAATGAGACAAAAGGAATATGGTTAGTGTGTTTTAGGCCAACTCAATCTTGCTGCAAGCAAATGACAAAATTACCCTTTATAACAATAACAATAAACTAAGTTTTATATTCCACAAATTTAAAGTCGATTATATAAAGGGTGAAAAAAAAATTATGTTAGGTAATGATTTTAAATTTTTTTGTGTCACTCATTTTTCAAAAATAATTTTTTTTTTTACTTTTTTAATTCTCATATAATATTTTATTACTTATATTCACGTCTTTCTTGATTTATCTTTACAAAATTTATTTTTTCTCAAATTTTAAAAACTCATTTTTCATAACCGATGTAAAATTAAACTTATATATCATAGGTTCAAATCATCTTAAATGTGCTAAGTTAGACCTACAAAACTACCCTTTATTACATAGAAAAGAGTTTTTTTCGTTTTTTTTTTTTTTTGAAAAAAACTTTAAACTTTTTTTTCCATAATCAGGTATAGAAGATCTTTGGAACCAAAAGCCAAATTAAAAATTTTCAAAAAAATTCTACAAAGGGTAATTTAGTCATTAAAAAATTGGTTTCCCATTTTTTTTAATAAAGGGGGCAATTTAAAAATAAAAAATTTTAATTTTAAATTTATTAAATATTATTTTTTAAAGTAGTCGTAAATTAATTTTCAAATCTATTGATTCGGCATTATTAGTTTTATGTTCCTTTCCATTTAGCTGATTCCTAGCTGTAAAACAGCAAAAAAAAAAAAAAACAAAAGAGTCACGAGTTGATTGTTTATTAGTCTTTTAGTTAACGTCACTAAGCAATTTTTTAATAAAATTATAAAATTTAATTTTAGATTTATTAAATATTATTTTTAAAATAATAGTATTAATTAATTAAATTAATTTTCAAATTTATTGATTCGGCATTATTAGTTCTATTGTTATTTTCCTTTGGTTGATTCCACGCTGTAAGACAGTAAAAAATAAAATAAAAGACTGACGACTTGATTGTTTTTTAGTCATTTAGTTAACGTCACTAAGCAATTTTTTAATAAAATTACAAAATTTAAAATTTTGATTTTAATTCAAATTTATTAAATATTATTTTTAAAATAATCCTATTATTTAATTAAATTAATTTTCAAATTTATTTATTCGGCATTATTGTTCTATTATTCTTTTTCTTTGGCTGATTGCCCGATTCCAAGCTGTAAACAGTAAAAAAAAAACAAAAGAGTGACGAGTTGAATTTTTTTAGTCATTTAGTTATCGTCACTAACTAATTTTTTAATAGAATTACAAATTTTAAATTTTAAATTTATTAAATATTATTTTAAAAATAATCATATTAATCAATTAAATTAATTTTTAAATTTATTGATTTGTAATTATTAGTATTATGATTCTTTTGTTTTCACTAATTTCAAGCTGCTAAGTAAAAAAGAAAAAACAAAAGAGTGACAAGTTGATTGTTTTTTAGTCTTTTAGTTAACGTCAATGGGCAATTTTTTTTAATCATTTATAAGGTACCCCGTCTTGGTGGGGCTCTTACGGTCACCGTCTTCCCCATCCAATCATCTTCATTAATCACATATTTTTCAATTTCTTATAAAATATACTAAATTTTTTAAAAATTTATTTACGATCAAAATTTGTCCAATGACCATCATTTGATGGACACGGAGTTTGTCTGACTCAATTCGGAATAACATAAGACAAAAATTTTTAAATTTGAATATATTTGATTGGAAGTATTATTTTATTAATAAAAATATTTTTATTAAATTTTAATTATAAAATATTAAAATAAAATAATTTTTTAAACATTTTAATTTTTTTTAATATTACCTTATTTAAATGAATGAATTTGAGCAAATCAAATTTGAATCCAAAGTTTAATTCTATTTATAAACAATTTTAGTTCAAATTATTATAATTTTAGTCTATTGGTATATGGCACATCTTCGAAGAAGGGTTGTCAGGAAACATAAGGATTAGAGTAATTTTTTATTTATTAATTTATTTAGTTCAAAAGCAATGTAAGAAACATAATCTTACCTGATTAATTTGTCATTCTTTATTGGTATTGTTAGGGGTATTTATCATAATATATAGATTTGTGAATCTACTGTTAAACATGGATGAAAGAGACTTATCATAAATCTTTTTTACTTAGGTGTGATTGGTCACCTGAAATATATTTTAATTTATAAAAGTATATGTTAAGTTCGAGAGTCAGTTAAATATAAAAATGGTTATAGTACTCTCATAACACACATCCAAAATATGATATCTATTTGATTTTAAATTATTCAAACCTTGGTTATTTTTATGATTTACCAAATAATTTAGTATTAAAAATTGATCTTAAAAAGTATTACAATAGTTTGATAGCAATTTAAGATATTTTTTTTACCTCAAAAGTATTTATAGAGACTAATATTTAATTCTGAAGAGGTTCCGTCGTCGGATTTATCAAAATATTTTATTCAAAAAAATCTCTCAATAGTTTGGTAATACTTAATTTAAAGCAATCCTCCAATAATTTAAAAGATAATAAATTATTTTTAAAAATTAATTTATAAAATTTTCTAATAGTTTGGTAGATTCCACAAATTTATTTTGTAAGAATTTTTTTTGTTTGAAAAAGATTCTTTTTTATTACCCTTTTTTATTTTTATTTTTTTATTTTTATTGAAAGGATTTATAACTATTTTTTGAAACTTTATTTGAAAAGATTTTATTTATTTATTTATTTTTTATTTGAAAAGATCTACAATTGGGTCGAGCCGATGCCAAGGTTAACGCGCGGATCCTCCTCAGGTCATCCGCGAGTCAAGGCTTTCCAAAACGCTATCGTTCTGGAGTAGTATAAAAGGCATCACCTCAGTGGTTTCTCAAAATTACCCGAGCCACTCTATCGCTACCATTAGTTTTCTCTGCTTTCTTTCTAAAAATCTCTCAAGAACCCACCGATAAATTCAACTAAAAATTGAGAACCTCACCAGTTTTCTGGAGATATCATAAAAAAATTCAACCGAAAACTGAAAAACTCATGATTTTTGAAAAACTTGTCGGATTCTGAAAATCTCGCTGGAATCTTTAAACCTTTACCGAAAAAATCACCAAAAAATTCAAATCTTTATCAAAAAAATTTTTCAAACCTAGAAAAAACCTAGAAAAATTTCAAAAAATCCCAAAAAGCTCTAAATCTTTTCCAAAACTTTCTACAACATTAAATCTATCTCCAGAAACCTAGAATCACTCCTAAAACTACATATTAAACCCTAAACCCCAACTTCAGAATTTTAAAAATCTTTACTACCAGAATTTTTTCAGACCCTTTTCTTTTAAATTTTTTCATGTCTGTCCTTTGATTTTCAATCCAATTTATAGGCAGTCCTAGGATGATTTTTAGGAAATGGACAAAATCAATCCTACGCTTAAATCCTGGGATATAATTCTATCCAGACAAGATTTTAGGTCCAAAATTTAGTGATCACACACTGATGCGGTCTGGCATTAAAAATTTGACCATGTGGTGGGATTCTAATCATGATTTCAGATTTCCTTTGTCCATGTACAAATTGAACGAAAAAGGAAAGAAGAAAAGTAGAAAAAGAAAAAAATTAATAAAATAATAATAGTGATAATTATAACAATAATAATAATGTAATAGTAATAATAGTAATAGTGACATATTATATTATAATACATACGAAAATATCAAAGAAGGAAAAGGAGAATAAAATATAAATAATAATAATATTAGTATAATAATAATAATGATAACAATAATAATCATATAGATATAACATAATACCATATAATTTATACCATAACAACAAAATACAAAAGAAATCGGTCCAATTAAGCCCGGACACAAATGAATGTCTATAGTATTTAGTAGTGAAAATGGTATATTAATCTTTTTTAACATTTGTATTGACTTGATATATTCAATATCATATCAACTCAATCATGTCATTATTATACCTCATTGGTCCCTTTCTTTCATCTATAAATATAAACATCTATATATTATTATGGTAAGTTCCTTTTTACCTTAATATCCTATCTTTCTCTCTTTTTGACCTTTTTTCTGACTTGCATGTCAAAGTGCAAATGTAAGGAACATTTTCTACTTTTGCCTCTAACCACTTTCCTCTTTTATCCTTTTAGAAACACCCTCACATTGAAACTCGGTATCAACATTTAGCGTGTCAGGTAAGAGGCTTTTCCGTTCATTAGTTGAGCACGAAACAATTCCACCTAGAAAGAGAACTTTTGAGGAAGGAGAGATGGTGACTTTGGCTAAAAT